AAGGGTCTCCGTATCGGCTCCGACCCTGGCTCGACCCTGACTCGACTCTGCCCGGCCCCCTGCTGTTACCCCTATTCCCTCATGTATTTAGTCGCACCTCGCCCCTGTAGCTAGCTCGGTAGTTTTCTGATATCCTACGTACAAGGCCTATAGGTGTCATTGGTATTCCCAGGTCTCTGAGTCCCCACGCACTCCCATATGCCTCTGAGTGGATTCATACCGCATTCGGACCCATTGTCTTGCCTGCGCCGTTACAGTCACTAAATAAAGTACAGGAGGCACATAACAGGCAGGACTAAAAGAATGCTAAGGAGAAGCTTTTATAACACTAAAAGGATAAAATAACTAAGCTTAGAGAAGCTATAAAGGCTAAGAAGGCACGTTAACTACAAAAGAGGAAGCAAATAAGGGCGCAGGTAAAGGAAATCTGCCTGCAGGAGCAGCGTAAAAAGGCAGCTAAAAAAGAGGAGGCGCAGATTACCTATAAAGTAAACAAACAACTTAAAAATAACCTTAAGGCCTTAAAAAGAGGTAAACAGAAGGCTCTTACACCTTCTCCTAAATTATCTGTTAATAAGAAGGATGTTAATGTAGATTTTTTATTAATTATAGATATAGCCCCTTTACTAGCTAGATTACGCCGCACCTGTAAAATAGAGCTTCTAAAACGCTTCTGTATATAAAAAACCTTATTAGCGCCTTTAGGCAGCTTCTCTAATTACTACACTAAAAAATCTTGTGATTTTACAATATATATGTGGTTGTAGAGCCTTAAAAGTTCTTAGGTGTAGGCATCTGAAACCGTGCATGCGGTGGGGCCGTGCATGCGGTGGTGAGCCACAGTATACCTAGCATAAATCTTTATTATAATTAATTAAGAAGAGCTATAATGTGTAATAGTTTTAATTTATTTAATTAAGGTATTATAAAACTATAAACTAGTTAATAAACACACTTTTTTTTACCTTAAGCTAGTGTACAATCTTATCCTAGTACATCCACCTACTTTATATAAGCTTATTAAAAAGAGCCTATCTATCTGCTTTACTAATCTTTATAGGCTGCTCTAGCACGCTTTAAACTAGAGGCGTTAAACGCAGCTATAACTTTATAGATTTAATAGTATATTGTCTACAGCTTACCTACTATAGCCCTTACACTTTATAATTACTTAAGGAGACTAATTAAGTAGCGTAAATTAATATATATTAAGGCGTGTATGCTGTAAGAGACTATAATTTAAAAATTAGAGACTAAGTAGTTAACAAGGTAGTTAACAAGATAGGCAAGCAGAGACTCTGTAAGCGTAATACATGTGGGAACTAGCTAACGACTACACTAAAGAATTGTTAGTATACACCTTTTACATAGGACTGTATAGCTTCACGTGTATACTCACTATATAAGCAGGTATCGTTAGTTGCTGATGCTTTGTTGGCATATTCAGTGGTTACTGTAAAATTTGGGGGGGCGGAGGGAATTTGCCGATGACGCGACAAGGGTCCACCGATTAATGCATATAGCGGATACAGCCGACTAAGAGGATTCGGAGACCAGGATGTTACTTTAGCCGGAGCGAGCCATGCCATAGTTGTGCATTCCTAGATAAGCATCAGAAGCACATACCCAAGACCTTATCATTAACCATATGAAGATCTAATGGGCATCTGACCCACCCCCTGACGCCCACAAGCAGCACTAATGCCACCCTTGAGCCAGACAACTTCACACACGTGAGCCAAGCAACTTCCCCTGCTGATTGAGTGTTAGCGCTGGGAGGCGAGCAGCAAGGATAACTGGCGCAAACAGCTCTTGGCCGAAGCTGACGATCGCGAGCATGATCTGATGTGAAGAGGGGTAACTACATCTAATCAGGAAGCACTATCAATACGGGTCTTTGGGTCCAAGACTTTGCGTGGGACATCTCTTTCTGGTGCTTATAAACTACCACCATATGCATTTGCAGTCCATACGCGTACTCCAAAGTTGAATGTAGTCGCAAGTCCCATTCTAATTGCCATATTAAGTCTCGATATTGACTCCTAGTCTCACCTTTGGCATCTCAGTGCAAGTATCTCGTTCAATGGAGCCAATTGCAGTCATAGGCCATTCGTTCAGACTGCCTGATGGAGTTGAGGATGTCTTGAGCTTTTGGGATATGATTAAGCACGGGAGAAACGTGATGAGAGAATGGCCCAAGAGCAGAACAAACATCGATACATTCTATAAGCCAGGCTCAGGTCTCAAGAACACGGCAGGTCTAACCAAAACGCTTCCTCTCGGAACCTGACTTGGTGGCTAAAAAGATACTGCTTAGTTATATTCAAGGGGAAGCTACTTCCTAAACGGAGATCCCGCTGCGTTTGATGCCCCCTTCTTCTCTATCACGGCCCACGGTAAGTAGAACGCAGGACGATTCTGTCTTTCGGTATACCAAAATGCTGACATGTAGAAACAGAGGCAGCTGCCATGGACCCACAGCAACGATGGCTTCTCGAGACTTCTTACAGAGCCCTGGAAAATGGTATTCTCATCGAGCCCTGAACCTACCTTAAACCCGAGCCCACTACTTACAACATGCAGCTGGGATTCCCCTGGAGAAAGTGGCAGGAACCAATACAGCTGTCTATGCTTCATCTACCTCAGAAGACTACATTATGATGACTGCCAAAGACCCAGATCATGCGGCGCAGATGGTGGCCACCGCCACCAGCCCTAGTATCCAGGCTAACCGGATCAGTTGGTACTTCGACCTGAGGGGTCCCAGCATACATGTCAATACTGCTTGTTCATCCAGTATGATTACTGTGGATCTTGCGTGCCAGAGCTTGAGAAGCGGGCAGAGTTCAATGGTATGCAGAGCCACGTATAGATGTGTTCCAGAGCTTCGCGAAGCGCTAATCTCTGGTATATCTAGGCCTTGTTAGCGTCCGCCAACAGTTTACTGAGCCCAGAATGGTCCCTCTATATGTCTAACATGAACTTCCTGTCACCAGATAGTCGGTGCTATAGTTTTGATCACCGTGCTAATGGCTATGCAAGATCAGAGGGCGTTGTTGTTCTCGTGCTAAAGAGACTTTCTGACGCGATTCGGGACGGGGACACGATTCGCGGGGTGATTCGAGGAACTGGCTCGAACCAGGACGGCCACACCCCAACAATGCCCCAGCCAAACCAGTCCGCGCAGGAGGCACTCATTCGCCAGGTATATAAGAGCTGCAACTTGGGCTTTGAGAAAACGCGTTATGTAGAAGCCCATGGTAATATCCTCTGTGGCTGAATCTTCAACGACCGTCGTATCTGACATCCCTAGGTACCGGCACGCAAATCGGGGACGTCACAGAAGCAACTGCAATAGGCCGGGTGTTCAGGAGCAGCAGATCCCCGAAGGAGCCACTTTATATGTAAGTGCAGCCCAAAGTCCAGAGGGTGCTAGTTTTCCGGATGGGCCTCTACGTGCACGTCGTTAGTTCCGAACCCGGGAATTGTTTGTCCTTTGACAATTACTAACCTTGACCGCACCTGGCAGTGGCTCGATCAAAGCGAACATTGGTCATCTGGAAGGAGGTAGTGGCCTAGCCAGCATTCTCAAAAGCATCATGATACTCGAGAAAGGTATCATCCCGCGCGCCGCCTCGTTTGAGAAATTGAACCCTAAGATCAAGGCCAAATTCTACCATCTGGAGGTACAGACTCTCTATTTGAGCTCATATAATTTACATCCACGCTGACGGGTTTTAGGTATCTACTGCTTGCATTCCTTGGCCGACTCAAGGCCTGCGACGGATCTCGGTCGATTCATTCGGCTTTGGTGGAGCCAATAGCCACGTCATCATCGATGATGCTTTCCATACCATTGAGGCTCTTGCGCTCGTAGGCAATCATCATACCTTGGCCTTCCCCGGCCTGTCTGGCGGCGTGAACGGAGTGAACCATGCAACCGACAAAAACAGTAAAGCGAACCCCGGGCACCATTTACTGACGTGGTCAGCTCGAGATGAAGCTGCACTGAAACGAATGTTGCGTCGGTATGATGAGTATCTCCGAACCTCCAGCTCCACGCATGGAGATGCCGAATTCCTAGGAGATATCGCCTATACACTTGCTGCGCGCCGTTCTCTCATGGCCTGGAGAGCCTTCTCCATTGTGAATGGACTAGAGACCTTGGACCTCCCTGCTGCGAAATGCGAGCGCGCGGCACGTGACGTTGGAGTGGCTTTCGTCTTCACCGGCCAAGGCGCGCAGTATGCCAACATGGGGATGGGGCTGCTCCACTACCCCGTCTTCAAGGCTACGCTTGTCGAGATAGATAGTATATTCCAGAGTTTGGGAGCCGAGTGGTCACTATTTGGTAAGCATAGCGTTCGGCCATCGGCACATAACAGCATTCGTTAACTCGACGTATGATAGATAAACTCAGAGACCAAACATGCATCGACAGACCAGAGTTCAGCCAGCCTTTATGCACTGCGCTTCAGATAGCTCTGGTAAGACTACTGGAAACTTTCAATGTCTTCCCAGATGTTATAGTCGGACATTCGTCAGGAGAGATTGCGGCGGCATACACCGTTGGAGCCTTTTCCCTTCGCTGCGCCTGCGCAGCTGCCTATCACAGAGGTCGCCTCGCTGGGCAGATAGCCGCAGTATCTGCGCTGCAGCCAGGAGCGATGATGTCCGTGAATCTCGCGGAATCCGAAGCCGAGTCCTACTTGGTGAAAGCGTCACTGCCCGGTCCCGTTTCTGTTGCGTGCATCAACAGCCCGAGCAACGTTACGCTATCGGGCGACGAGAGTGCCATTGATCAGCTGCACAAAGACCTTGAAAAAGATGGCGTCTTCGCAAGGAAGATCAGAACGGGCGTGGCCTATCACTCGCCTGCTATGTATCACGCCGCTGGTGAGTACCTGGCTAGTTTGGATCATCTCGAGCCACGAGAATTGCACAGCGGCAACCCTATCATGATATCAACCGTAACAAGCCAGAAGGTTGCGACAATCAACCTGTTAGACCCGCGATACTGGGTCGATAATATGGTGTCACCTGTACGATTCGCTGACGCACTGCAATACATCGTCCACACTGCGCCCAAGGTAGATGGCCTCAAGCCCATCACCAACTTTATTGAAATTGGACCCCACGGAGCATTGCAGCGACCCGTACGCGACACGATGACTCACGCTGGCAACAGCACGGCGCGATACGGTTCAGCCCTGTCGAGGCAGGACCCCCCATCCAGAAGCATTCTACAGCTGGTTGGTCAGCTGTTTACCTCTGGACACCGTGTTTCGATCACTGCAGCTAACCAACAGGACGGCCCTTCTCCAGTCGCCAAGCCTGTAGTAGACACCCCTGATTACCCCTTCGATAAGACACTGACATACTGGCATGAACCCAGGCTAAGCCGTGATTGGCGGCTTCGTGAAGAGCCTTCGCAGAGTCTTTTGGGCTTACGTACAAACGACTGGAACCCACTGCAACCACGTTGGCGGAAGATGCTGAACGTCGAGGAGGTCCCTTGGCTCGCGGATCACGTCGTGGGCAACAGCATCATTTTCCCAGGTGTAGGTTCTATCGTAATGGCTATTGAAGCTGTCAAACAAACAGCCAGTGGAAACCAAGCCATCAGGGGCTACCATTTGAAAGAGACCACATTCACGAGTCCTATCGTCGTCACCCCGGGACAGACCACAGAGGTCATGACACATCTCCGTCCATTACAACAGTCATATGAGAAAACCTCCACCCGGTTCGAGGTAGAAATTTTCTCGTTTGCGGAGAACTACTGGAGGGCTTGCAACAAACACCTCATCCATGTCGAGTTCGAACAAGAAACCCGAACCGAAGTAGATGGCGGACACGAGCTCCAGCTCCTCACCTCTTCCATCGCTCACAATTACCGAAACACAAAAAGCAAAGCCAATGTGAAAATTGCCACTGCTGATTTCTACCACGGGCTCGAGGAGATCGCGTTTCAATACGGACCTACCTTTTCTCTTACCGACGAGATTCGTTGGGATGGGGAACATCTCGCCATTGCCGAAGTTCACGTTGGGCCTCCAGTTGACTCATATAAGGAGGGTGTTGTCCATCCCGGCGTTCTCGACTCATGCTTGCAGCTCTGCCTAATCCCACCATCTCAGAAAATCTCGAAGAACATCCCGACTTGTGTGCCGCACAAGATCAAAGGCGCCTGGATAGCTGAGACCGCGTGGCGGGATCCATCTGCAGACCGAGTCGATGTCTTGACAGAGGCAAAGCTCAAAAGCACTGGCGCCGGCCTCGACTGTGAGGTGGCTATCTTGTCCAAAACAGGCGCTCTTCTTGGATATTTCAAACGGCTAGAGATGTTGCCGATCATGTCGCGTGAGATTGATCTCGATGATAGCGGGAGGAAGTTGCTGCACCATATCGACTGGAAGCCACACCTTTCATTGCGTCCCCCGCAGCAGCCGCATGACTTGGGTAATACCGCAATAAAATCACCAGACAACGAAGATGCAGCCGTCAGCGACCGGATCGAGCTTGAGGAGACACTCAGGTCTGTAGCGCAGCGGAGCATTGACAGCCTTCAGCACGACGAATGGGAGAGGATGCCAGCCCATGTGAAGAAGTACATCTCTTGGACAGAACGCCAGCTTCGGGGAAAGCCAAACAGAGAAATCCCTGCAGGATGCGATCTCATCAGCAAGTTACAAGACCTTGGTATGAGATGGCCATCGTGGAGAGTGTTCACAGAGGCCGCAAAGAGCTTTCCGTCCGTAGTCCGCGAAGAACCACAAGAGCTCGATTTGTCCCTTTCGTCGGACATATTTCAGGATTACCTCGATGACATAGTGGCTGCAGTCTGCAACCAAGATTTTGAGGCGTATCTCGGACTGCTGGCTCATCAGAAGCCCACCCAGAGGATTCTCGAGATTTGCGCTCGTCGAGGTGCTCTCACTAGCTACGTGCTATCAGTCTTTCAGAGAATCGAAGCTCGTACAGGGGGTATAACGTACTCTCAGTACACCTATTCGGACACACTGACAGCCTCGCTCGACGATGCCCGACAACGATTTGCCGAACACCAAAACCGCATGGACTTCACGTGTCTTGACGTCAATCGAGACCTCATCGCGCAAGGGATGCAGCCCGCTAGCTACGATGTGATCTTCGCAGCAGGTGCCTTGCGAAGCGCCAACAATATCAGTGCCGTTCTTCAAAATCTTGGAAGAGTGCTGACGCCGGGTGGCCAGCTCGTCCTCCACGAGATTACGGTCCCCGACCGCTTTGAGATAGGCTTCGGCTTCGGCGCGACTGCGGACTGGTGGTGTGACCGACAAGACGATGGAACGATGACCCCCTCCCAATGGGATGCAGCTTTGAAAGACAACGGCTTCTCAGGGACCGACCTAGTCATCAGGGACTACAAGAACGATGTTTTGCATTGCTCTAGCCTCATGGTGTCGAGAGGAGCGGCGGCTCAGCCAAGCCTTCCAAATGCAGATACCAGGGTTCTGATAGTGATTGATGACGACGACAGCTTCCAAAAGGCGCTCGCGGAGAGTTTGCTCCATAACACAACCTGGAATTCCCGTGTACTTACTCTTACCGAGATGATAGTTGAGAAGCTTGAAACAAACAACTATGTCGTTTGCCTTGCGGACGTCTACCGGCCATACCTCCACCCAATGAAACAACAGACGCTGAAAACTGTTAGAAACTGGGTACAACAGTGTAAGAATCTATTCTGGGTTACTGCATATAATACGGAGAGCACCGCGCTCTCATCATCGTACCCCTACACAGGGATCAAGGACGGTTTCCTCCGTACTCTACGCTCCGAATTCGCTCTCAATCGCATCGTCTCTCTTACTCTGGGCGAGAGCACTCGTGACGCCACAACCTGTGCGAGATACGTATTTGATGTCTTCGAGTCAGCCTTTATTCGGGGGCTCAGCGCTGATGTTGAATACATGGTCCGAGACGGCGAGATTTTAACCGCACGGCTGGTTGACGATGATGACACCAACAAAGCCCTCGCGTCATCTCTAGTGCCGCAAGCCATTACCGAGCCTTGGCTACCAGGACCGCCGCTCAGATTGGGTATTCAAACCCGTGGACAGCTCGAGACTTTACGCTTCCAAGAAGACGTAGAATACTACGAGGAGCTAGGCCCACAAGACGTTGAGATTGAAGCCAAGGCATGGGGTCTTGGCTTCCGTGACGTCTTTATGGCCCTCGGCCGCTTGGAGGAAGATGATTTCGGGATAGACTGCGCGGGCATAGTGACACGAGTAGGATCTGAGGTTCAGTCGATCAAGGTCGGGGACCGTGTCTGCGCGCAGGAATTCAACTGCATGAAAACCTATGCCAGATCGCGTGAATGGTCGACGCAAAAGATTTCAGACTCTGTTTCGTTCGAAGAGGCCTGCGCTGTCATCATGCCCGGTATGACGGCGATACAGTCGTTGATCGAGGTCGCGCGCCTGCAGAAAGGCGAGAAAGTCCTGATTCATTCAGCTTCCGGTGGCACAGGCCAGGTCGCCCTTCAGATCGCGCAGATGATTGGCGCAGAGGTGTTTGCGACTGTAGGGTACGACAGCAAAAAGCAGCTCCTAATGGACAAGTTCAACGTCCCTGAGGATCACATTTTCTACAGCAGAGACACCAGCTTTGCCCAGGGGATCCTGAGAATCACGAATGGTTATGGCGTTGATGTGGTTTTAAACTCCTTAGTAGGGGAGTCCTTGCGAGCCTCTTGGGACTGCATCGCCCCGTACGGAAGGATGATCGAGATTGGCAAGGCCGAGATAAATGCCAATGCGTCGCTGCCCATGGCCAGCTTCGCGAAGAATACCATGTTCGCCGGCGTCGACCTTTATTACATAAAAAACGACTTGAATAAAAAGCATGTGACGCGCATGCTTCTGCAAAGGACGATGGACCTGGTTAGGGATGGAAGTGTCCGGGTGCCGGTACCCCTTCACATTTATGGCTTGGACTCGATGGAGGATGCATTTCGATATCTCGCGAGTGGGAAGAACTCAGGTCGTATCTTAATTCGCGTCGATCCATCAACGCATGTCCAGGTATGATGAGATGAGCCAAGCTGATACGATGGGTACTGACACGACAGCAGAAACCCAAGATCAACCGGAGAACATGGAAGTTCGATGGAAAAGCCACTTACATGGTAGCAGGAGGTCTTGGTGGCATCGGTCGCTCGATACTTAGATGGATGGTTACGAGAGGAGCTAGACACTTGCTCGTTCCATCGAGGTCTGGTCCTGCCTCTGCTGCAGCGTCCGAGGTCGTGCGTGAGTTATCTGATCAGAATATCGTTGTGTCGACCCCAAAATGCGACGTGTCTTCAAAAGACGCCCTCTCGCACATGCTAGAAGATGCTGGCACAACTCTCCCTCCTATACGAGGGTGCATAGTCGCCACTATGGCTCTGAATGTAAGTTGCAAAACAATTTGCAAACCCGCGGTCCTCATCGACCACTAACATGACTTTAGGATTGCTTGTTTGAAAACATGACGTTGCCACAATGGGAGCAAACCTCTTGCTCCAAAGTCGAGTCGTCATGGAACCTCCACACACTACTTCCTGAGCTCGACTTCTTTATACTGCTCTCTTCCGTCTCCGGTGTGGTTGGAAACCCCGGCCAGAGCAACTACGCGGCAGGCTGTACCTTCCAGGACGCGCTGGCACGGCATCGCAACGAGGGCGGCCAGAAAGCAATCTCTATCGACCTCGGTGTGATGCGCAGCATCGGAGTCGTCGCAGAGACCGAACGGCTCCAGCAGCATTTCCAGAACTCCAAGGCATTCATCCAAGTCGAGGAGGCCGAGTTCCTATCCCTGCTAGACATCTGCTGCGACCCGTCGTACCATCCACAAGGCCACCAATGCCAGATGGTTATGGGCCTCGAGACCCCCGCCAGTCTCCTTGCGCGGTCGCTTGAGCCACCCGAAGTCCTGCAGAGACCACTCTTCGCCCGCTTTAGCCAGCGAGCGGACTTGTCTGGCAGCAGCAATGACGGCACCGGCGACGGTTTAGACGCCGCGCGGCTCTTCCGGGAGGCCGATTCGGCGGTCGAGCGCGCTCAAGTGGTCGTCGAAGCTCTCTCCAAGCGGCTGGCGCGGACGCTGTCGATCAAGTTCGAGGACGTCGATACACACCAGGCGCTTCATGCGTACGGCGTGGACTCGCTCATCGCTGTCGAGCTCCGCACCTGGCTTGGCAAGGAATTCGCGGCCGACGTGTCCGTGTTCGAGATTGTGAGCGGGAAGACGATCGAAGCTGTCGGGGAGCTGGTAGCCAAGACGAGTAGGATTGAAAAGGGGGCGTAGATATCTATGTCCGGTGGGCTATATTGGTTCGACCACGAGTCGATTTTGCGGAACGCAGTGTTGGATTGAAAAGGGTCTGGGTAGGCAAAGCTGGATTCATTCTTCTGTCTAGATATCTATAGGCGCAAAGTCTCTAAATGGGTGCGGATGTACTCAAAGCTAGCGGCCCTAGCATTGTCATCTATCAAATAAGTAGATTGAGCTCCAAGCTCCAGCAATTGCTTCTTCTCCTGCCATGTGGGCCAAGGACTCAAGTACCCGCTAGGAGTGCTGGGCGCATAATTGTTAGGGTCTAAAGAATCTACAAACGAGATGTACAGATCCTGAATAGACCTGCTGACATTACTGGTTTCGTAGTATATGTGAGGTAGGTCCGTGGCATGGTAGGTCCCAAGGATCGGGGTCCCACTTTCGTATGTCGCTAGGTAGGACCACGCTGGAACCGTTGCGGGGAATGTTTGCAAAAGCAGCCGAGCCATGAAAGTAAATTCCCAGTCGCCCAGGACAGCAGCGAGCCGCTTAAACTCTGGGTAAGTATCATTCGATGCGCCTATGCCGTCTGGACTGTCGGGGTTGTTGGGATAGGTGGCGATGAGGCCCTCAATCTCATCCCGGTTAGCGTTGTGGAAGAATACATCGTTGAGGTAAGAGACCAATGCAGCTTCGGTGGTGATGTTAGATTGAAATAGAGCGAATATCGTTCCCTAAAACACTGGTGAGCTTATCGTGACTGGATATCAAGCTTTATGATGGCTTTGCTGCAGTACCTCATTTTCCTGATTGCCGATGATCATTGGGACTGCTGCGTATTTCCCTTTCTGGGCAAGATCTTCGGGGCTAGCAGTGAGAATACGACCGTCTGGCCGCGGAGCATAACTGAAAGCAAGGGAATTGTAGCCCAGGTATGCGGGGACACTGTTCGCTGCAGTTACGAAGGTATCGTAGTCGAGTCCTCGCAGACACTCAAGTTTAGCTGAATCCGCGGCTGAAGCGCACCCCGCCGTTTCGACCACCTTGTCAAAGATCTCCTGGGCCTTTACGCCGTTTACTGGCTCAGTTGGTGTGATGCTGCCGCTATTCATGATTGCCCCTCGGAACAAGGAACGGTTTTTGTAGGTGTTGTCGCCGTCAAATAGTGCAAGTTGATCAAAAACACTCATCGCACCAGCGCTCTGACCCCAGATTGTAACAGCATCAGGATCACCTCCAAAAGCTGCAATGTTATCTGCTACCCACTCCAGACCCATACGCTGGTCAAGCAGGCCCAGATTAGCAGCCCCATCCTCCAACACCTGATTCCCCCCAAGAAACCCAAAGGCCCCGAGGCGATAATTGACAGCCACAAAAATCATCGGCTTGCCCTGGGCTACCGATTCGGGAATCAGCACCGACCCATTGTACATTTGCGGGCTACCCGTCTCGAAGCCTCCGCCAAATATATAGAAGAGAACAGGCAGCTTCGCATCAATCGCAGCACGCGTGCCTTTTGGTCGCATGACCGAGATGGTGAGGCAGTCCTCACGCTCGTCGCCCAATGTTGACCCAAAGAACAGAGTCCCCTGGACGTCGGGCAAAGCAAGCACATCGAGCAAGAGTGGTGTAGCGTCTATTGCTGTCATTTGGGGACATGCGGGGCCGACACCAGTGGCCTCAACCGAGCCAGAATCGAAACTTTGAAGGCGTACTGGGGGCTTCAGTCTGAGAGAGCCGGTTGGCGGTTGGGCAAAGGGAATTCCACGGAAATATTCGACGCCATCATCACCCACGGTGCCGATGACAGTACCGGCAGGGAGCAGGACAGATGCTGTGGCAGTGACGTTGGGGGCTGAGAGAGGGGTGGAGGCTCCTGGGGGAACCAGCGTGGCGACGAGAGCAAGTAACCATGTGTTGCACCTCATGGTTATAGTGGAAGATAGAGGATATTATGGATGGGTGGCGAATGGTTGGTGTAAACATTTGCAGAATTCTACGATACTTTATCTTCTCTTTTCTATTTAGCCTAAATCCTTGTAAGGAGTGATATGACGTTACCGATGCATGTCGGTGGTATGTATGTATGCAGGTGAGAAGTCAGCCACAACGCGTGCGTACAGTTCGTACATACACGCTAAAAACTCGCTTGAGCAGCCAAGCGTTAGAAATTAAAAGCAGAAAGTGTTATGTTAGCTTTTAACTTTTTTATATCTTGCTTAACTTTTTCATGTGTAGTTTAACTTTTATATATGTAAGGTTAATTTTTAGCTACAAAGCTAGTATATAAAAGGTAATAGCCTAATAAGAGAAAGCAGAAGATATAAATAGCAGCGTAGGTACATTTTAATTATAAATTAAGAGCGCATCTAGCTTATTTTAGAATATACTTATGATTAAGCCTTTTTATAACGTACCTAACAGGTTGGCCGGCCACACAGGTTAGCCAGCCACTTTTGCTAAGCCCCTACCACACCCTACCTATCTACATAATGCCTTAACAACAACACTAGATTAAATCTTCTAAAGAACATTAGATATAGCTTACTCTTTAGGCTTTTAAATAAAACTTAAAACTTTTCTTATAACATGCTGTAGCTATTTATAATGTTTTTTACATAACACTAAGTAAGTAACGCGCTAGACAGCCTTTAAAAGTAAAATGCTAGCCTAAATTAAAAAATATAACTAAGCTTAAAAAAAAAGTAGTTATTAAGTACATACTTAAGCTTATTACACATAGATTTTCTTTTAGGCTTGTAGCTATAGCTAATATAGCTAATTCCTTGCGCGCAGAGTATAATTTAGGCTAGGTTAGCTTAAACTAGCCTAGTATATAAGTTAAGCACTGCTTTAAGTTTATAATAAAGTTTAATTATAAGTATAATTATAAAAAAGCATTTTATAAAGATCTAAAAGTTATCTAAGGCTAGTTTTGCCTAGTAGCTAATATAAAAGCTAAGTATAGTATCTAGAATAAAAACACATATAACTTTAATAAGTTAGGCTTTATAATAAGCTAGATATTAACTAAAGTAGTTATTATAGCTTTAAAAAAATAAAGATAGCTAAAAGTAATATAGTAAAGTAATAAAAAGTAAATAATAGTTATCTAAAGCATTAATATAATAAAGTAAGCTATTTTACTTTTTATTATTTTTAAAAGCTACTATTACCTCTTTGCCTAGTATAAAAAAAAGAATTTGCTTTAAAACTAAGTTATTATAGTCTCTAAGAATAGCTAGATAATAAATAAGCTTAGGCTGTAGTAGTTAAAGCACTTTAATAAGCATATAAAAAAAAGTTATAAGCGCTTATTAGCTTTTTATTATTAATAGCTATAAAAGCTATAACTTACTTAATTTCTAGTAGTACTATAAAAAAAATAAGATTATTACTATTTATATACTTTTATACTTATTACACTTTTTATAGCCTTTTAATATAAGTTGTTTTCCCTTTTAAAAAAGGTATATAAGTACTAAGCTAAAAATTTTATGCGCAACTAAATTACTTATATTATAAAACTTAAGTTCTTACTATGCTTTATATGTCCTTACAATGTAGTAATTACTTTTAGTAATATCTAAAAAGGGTTTTAAGGCGCTAGTTTAGTCTTATTTAACCTAGAATAAGTTAAAATAGCCTTTAACATCTAGTTATGTACTTTATTACTACTACTACTTATTAATAATAAGCCCTAGCAGTTATAAACCTTAAGTAATACTTTTAAATTTAAGTTATAATTAATACTTATAAAAGTAAAAATTTAAAAGCATATAAATAGCTTACTAACATTTATAGTAAAGGCCTTTAAAAAAGTCTTAAAAAGGGCATTAATTATTGCGTATAAGCTAGTGTTAGTGTAAAAAGAGATTATAAAGCTTTAAGCAGTAAATAAGGCTACTACATAACATAGATTACATAAAAGAAAGTAGATTTAGGCAAAAAAGACCTTAATAGTTAAGGATAAAGCTTGTTTAACTACTCTAAAGGAGTTTAAAGCGCGTAGTAATAGGAAGAAGCTAAAGACGCAGGTGCGCGCTAAAGAAGGTAAGCTAAGTTAAAAGCAATGCAAGCAGTGTAATTAGACTAGGCATAACTTACATATGTGTAAGAAAGTAGCAGAAGTAAACTCTAAATAATATCTTATGTTGTATTGCTCTATATAAGGCTAAAGTGGGCTGTTTTGCGCCAGAATGGGGTGGTTTTAGTGGGGGCTTGGCAAAAGTGGCCGGCCAACCTGTGTGGCCGGCCAACCCGTTAGGTACGTTATCTAAAAACTTAATAATTTATATCTATAATATCTCTAAATACTATACCTTCTCTTATGCCTTCTTTTATAGAAGTTATTTAGTAATACTACTACCTAGTTAAGTAAGCTTAAACCTTAGTTAATAATCTTACTATTAATACATAAAACTTTATTATTAAAAATAAGAATAAAGCTTTTACTAAAAAGTGTAGCTATTTCTTACTAAAAGTAAAGCTTATAAGCTCTAATATATAAGTAAGTAAGCTTTAAAATATATTTATTATTTATTTAGCATACACTACAAGCAAGTTGCTTACACACCTAAGTTACTTACTTTTGCTAAGACTATACTACATTACTCTTTCTACACTAATGTATTCCTAACAACACTACTTAGACACATTAAAGGAATGTTAGATATAGCTTATGCTTTAAGCTTTTAAATAAAACGCAACACTTTCTAAGTACCACACTATAGCTACTTATAGAGTCTTTTAAAAGATAATAAGTAACTAACACATAAAACAATTTTTTTTACACTAATTATAACATACTTTATAAGCAACTTGCTTACACACCTAAGTTACTTACTTTTACTAAGACTCTACTAAACTACGTTTTTTACACTAATGCATTTCTAACAACACTGCTTAAATGTGCTAAAAGAATATTAGATATAGCTTATACTTTAAGCTTTTAAATAAAATATAACACTTTTAAAGTAATATGCTATAGATATATATAAGGTTTTTTAAAAAATAATAAATAACTAATATACTAAATAACTTTTATAAGCTAATTTTATAGCTAACTTATAAAAGCTTAGTAATAATAAAAAGTAGGTAATTATTAAGCACATAATTAAGCTATATATATAAGGATTTTTCTCTTAGCTAGTAGCTATAGCTAATATAGCTAATTTTTTACATACTAAGTATAACTTAGGCTATATTAGCATAAACTAGCTTAGTATGTTTATAAAGTGTTATCTAAAGCTTAAAGTAAAGTTTAAGTGTAAGTATAACTATAAAAAAGCTTTTTATAAAACTTTTAAGTTAATTTAAAGCTAGTTTAGCCTTATAAAAAATATTAAAGCTAAGTATAGTATCTAAAATAATAATATATATAACTTTAATAAAATAAACTTTATAATAAGCTAAATATCTACTAACTATACTTATACTTAAAACTTTACTTTAAGCTTTAAAAAATGCTTTATAAATATACTAAGCTAGTATATGCTAACATAGCTTAGATTATACTTAGTGTGTAAAGAATTAGCTATATTAGCTATAGCTACTAGCTAAGAGAAAAATCCTTACATATCTAGCTTAAGTATATGCTTAATAATTACCTACTTTTTATTATTACTTAGCTTTTATAAGTTAGCTATAAAATTAGCTTATAAAAGTTATTTAGTGTAGTAGTTATTTACTATTTTTTAAAAAACTTTATATATAGCTATAGTATATTACTTTAAAAGTGTTATGTTTTATTTAAAAGCTTAAAGTATAAGCTATATTTAATATTTTTTTAGTATGTTTAAGTAGTGTTATTAGAAATGCACTAGTGTAGAAAAAGTAGTTTAGTAGGGTCTTAGTAAAAGTAAGCAACTTAGGTGTGTAAGCAACTCGCCTGTGGTGTACGTTAAGATAATATAGTAAAAAAGGAATAGATCTTAAAGGTTACTGCTAGAAATCCTTTGTACTCTAGCAGCATTACAGAATAAGCTAAGTGGGGACGTTGTGGATTAAGGATGGCAGCCCTAACAGCGCGGCGCGCCTAGACTGTACGCTGCATGCTCGCGTTCTCATCGTGTTATGGATCGGGTCTGGCCGGGCTGGCAGCATGCTTGATGAGGCGTCACTTGTTTTTTTTTTTTCATGTACTGACCGCGTGTGCGAAGAGCTTGCTGTCTCCCACGCCCTAAGTGTCTTATAATGGTTACCCTGCTTTCTTTTGTTCTCTTACTGTTTTCTATTAGTCTGTTCTTGCTCTTCTAGCAGCTCTGTCTACGCATTTTACTCCTTTGCTCTCTTTCAGCTCCCCTTGTTACTCTCGGCGAGCTGGGGGGTGGGGGGATCGCGTAAGAAGAGCACAGGGACCTAGTGTCGTGCCTGTGTTTGGGACGTGCGGCCCGAGACACTTGACGCCTGAGCTCCCACTACATAGGAAGGCTCTCTAAGAGCCTCTTGTAGTCAATAGACTTGCTCCTCATTGCTCTCTAATTAGTAGTTGCGACACTATTATTATTCTACCTAAATTAGCTCTAACTACTACTTTAAAGTACTGCTAATAGAGATTATTTGTCTATAAAAAAGAGGGTAGTGTAATAATTTATATAAACTGTTCTATCTTACGTTGCCTAGAACCTATATCTAAAGGTTCCTAGTAGGTATTATTATGCTCTTAAATTCTATAACTTAGTCTGCTAACTAATTATAGTGTTTAACTAACTATGCTTTTACATCTACTTGTTAGAGCCTCTCTAGTGTAAGGACGAAGCTCTGTACCACTGCGCTAATACAGCTAAAAAGATGCGAATAATCAACCCTAAGCACGTAAGCACCATCTCGGCCTTACATCTAGAGGCGTTTTAAGTTATCTACCTTTAGGCTACCTACGTTCTTGCCTAGAGCTAGCAGGTTAACTTTACTCTTTAAGTTTTAAAATTAAAGAAATATAAGTATTACACTTTACATAATAAAAATTATAACTTAGTACAAATCTAGTCTAATACTACTAGAGTATAGTTTACTAACACGCGTGTAAATTATCTTCTATTATAAAAAAAGTTTTTAGCTTTTTAAAGTTATCTTAATCTACAAGCAGCAGCCTAAAACATAGAGAGTAAAAAGAATAAAAAGAAAGCTTTTAAAGCTGTTTTAAAGTTTACTTATAGTCTAGTGTAAGTTACTTAAGTTGTGTAAAGGTAGAAAGCTAGTCTTTCTATAGCTAGCATTTAAGTTGCTTTATGGTGAGAGCACTGTGAAGCAGGAAGCATGAAGCGCAGAAGGGGGTACAGGATAGTATTGATAGACGAATCCTTGAGGAGACTCAGGGGTTCGTGAGAGGATATATATATATATATATGTGCCCAAGGCCGGGCCGAGGGCTCTCCGGGGAGAGTCCGAGGCATGTCTAAGTTAGCCGTGACATTTATTTAACTAGAGTGCTAAATTACTTTACTAGGTTTTAGCTTTAAAGGCTCTAGTGTCTAGCCTTTAGACAGACATTATAGTGCTTGTAGGTAGCTAGAAAGAAAGCAGAGAGGTTTTAGAAGAGGTGCGGAGGAGGAGGAGAGACAAGAGAAGAAGGGTAGAGGAGAAGAAGAGAACTAAGAAGGTGTCTAACAGCTTGCTATTAGACACTTTCTATAAGCTATAGTTTGTTTTATAGTATGCTTATAATTAACTTCTACTTTTACACTTTATTATTAAGTAAGTAATTTATACCTTTTATACTAGCTTTAAAGTCTTTAATCTACTTATATAAATCTTGTGGAGGATAAAATAGCCTAGCAGTAGCTGTTCAGAAGATCGGATGAAGTGACTCTGCTATCTAAGAGAGTTGGAGGCTCTCCTTATATACACCGAGCTTCGGAACATACTATCTCCAGATCCCGAGCCGCGCCCCAGGCTCCGAGCCCCAGCCAAGGCTCTCAGTGTACGCGACAAATCTTTTAAAGGCCTAGAGCGTAAGCTGTATCTAATGTTCTTTTAGCGCGTTTAAGTAGTGTTGTTAGGAATGCATTAGTGTAGAAAGGATAGTTTAGTAGGGTCTTAGCAAAAGTAAGCGTCTCAGGTGTGTGAGCAACTCGCCTCTGGTGTACGTTACCTGAGGCTTTTACCGCTTATAATCGCCAATCATGGCCCAAAGGAGCCAGCAGTCGGTCTGTTAGCGAAAAGCGACGCGAGCCTCCTAAGACTGCTACACAAATCAGAACCTTGAAGCGACACGCTATTCGCCAATAAAGAAGGAAGCTAAAATTGGGATGTAGGGTGGCTTTCTACTTATTTAGAGGTGCTGCAGTTTCCGCTGAAACTGCCCAACATCCTTCATTTTGCCTTAGTTTCCTCCATCCTATCCCGCAGTCACCATGGCCATTCTGCTGTTTTAGTAGTATCTAGCCTGGCGGTTTCACGAAATGTAGTAAAACCCATCCTCTTTTAGTGCGCCCAGCTGCTCCTAACATTCACAATAGGGAGATTCTTCTCCTTGGCAGCCGCCACAACCTAAAATTTCACATCCTACCTAATGTTCAACAAGGACCTTACCCAAAGAAGTTACTTCATACGCAAGAAGACATCCCCTAAAAGTAGTATCCTATTACTCAGTTTCACTATCATATATTCGCTAGGCCAACTCTATGGAACCCTTCTCTAGGCACTGGACAGTCCGGGCTACATTTTGCAGAGCCACAACGTATCCGCCGCAAGGCTACAAAATATGCTCCTTGAAAACCCAAGCTATATAGTCTCACTTAATCTAAGATCCGGCAATCTTTTGCATCAGAAAGAAAGTTTGTCACAGACCATTGGCAGCAATCTGTACAAGCCCGCCGTAAATTTTATGAAATCACTGCACCGACTCGACCTAAAGCTGGCGCTCGTATCTGGGCTTGACGACAAAGGGTTCTCTGTATCTCCGGACAATTATGTGATAGTATCTGTGGCGCTAGACGCAACCGCTGCATTGCCCTGTGCAAAGTTTGAGTGAGAGGAATTTTAGCTGGAATTGTACCTTCAACAATAGCTTCGCGCAGCCACTTCTGGAGACGATCGTTGGTCAACCAGAAGTTCATTGGGACGATGCTTCTGACTTGGTACTCGACTCCCGGTACTTTCGCCCAAACCGACAAAATAACATCTGGGCATCTTTCGGAAAGGGTGGAGGTACTACTGCCATGAAACAAATGTTCGCTCTCACAAAAGGAACAAGGCGACATTCGTTTATTGCAAGTACGGTTAAGTTTTCGATGTTGACGACTCCCGGGGTACCTTTTTCGCGCGTCGAGGTGTCGGACTTTGTGAAGAGGACTTGGAGCTCGAATCCTGAAGAACAGCACGCCCCCCTTATCAGTCGCGTAGTGGATTCCATCCTTAAAGCGCAGGACCTCGACGTAAGCTACATGTTTGGTCTAAACTCCGCCAACAATGTGTCTGTTACCCAGTCCCATTGGCAGTATCTGACACTGGAGGATTTCAATGGTGATACTTTGTTTTCCGCCATCCGCCTCTAGGCAACTAGTATCATGCTTACCCATTCGGAATCTCTTGGAAACCCCCCAGAGCCGTATGAGAGCTGTAGCACATCGTTTCAGAATGAAGCGGAAGGCGGCAGAGTTACTGATACAGACTGCGCTGGGAGAGTCGTCAAACCCGAACCACGCTTTTATGGGCAAGTCAACACCTCTGCAGTCCTTATTGTTAACGGCCTTGGAGACGGAAGATCAAACATTAGCTCGAGCGCCCTCGATCAATCACACTTCCTCTGGCTGCAGGAAAACTCTCCCGCCATGGACGACTTGCTGGTGTCTCGTGGCTTTATAGTAAGCGTGGACCCGGCTCTAGTTACCCTCAAGGTTCGTAGTCCGAGAATGTCAAAGCTAAAAAGTGCACCCACACTAACAAGTTTCTGTATCAGACGGCTTTACTCACACCAGCAATTTCCTACTTGCAGTTGCTTCTTGTTCTACTAACTGTGCTATTTGCTCTTATCGGATGGCTTTGTCTTGATAAATATTCTAGTCCCCACTGGTCCAGCTCGCTGCTTCAACATTTGTTGTATACAGTCAAAACGCCTAGGGACTGGAAAAATCCAGAACCAGGGTATATTAAAGTCACCCCGAATATATGCCTTTCAAAAACGCCGCTAGAAGACTCTAGCAAAGCGATTATTACAATAAACGGCGCCTTCATAACACTTGGGGATGACCAAACGCAAGACAAGGACAATTCTTCTAGCCCCGAAGGCTTAATTGAAAAGGTGCAAGAGAGAATGCCTTTATTTAATAATTCAAAATAGGCCAAGTTTAGTAAGAGAAAGAATTATAATGTAGAATACTTAAAGTACAAATCTAATAACTTAGTGTTAATCTTTATAGAGCACCTGCGCGTTGTAATTATCAAGCAATCATTGGCTGACGCGGACAATGTTTCGACCGGTATACAGCTTTGATTTTCCGTCGACGGACGAATAGTTCGGGAGAACCAGAGATGTCGGCTATATTAAGCAATCATTGGACACAAACCATCAGACCTCCAAAAACTTCTAAAGAACTCATATCCCCTCACCATGAAAGTCCTCATCACCGGCGCCACGGGCAACATTGGAGGGGAGGTCCTCCTACAATTTCTCCAGCATCCAAGTATTACCTCAGTCGTAGCATTATCCCGGCGTGACATACCCAGCGAGTCGCTTCCCAACAACAACAAGTTTAAGAATGTGATCATAAAGGACTTTGGCCATTGGAGCCAAGATGTTATGGACATTATACAGGATGCTGATGCGATGTTCTGGTAAGATTTTCGGCCACGGCGTCTACATTGGACACGAGAATGGCTGATTAGTTCCTATAGGGCGATGGGTACCAACGACACATCACCAGGCCCGAACTTTGACTGGCCACTTGCATTCCAGGAAGCCATGTTGAAAGCCCGCGAAGGACAGACACGCACAACACGGTTCAGATATGTTCATCTGAGCGGGAAGTGGGTTGTACAGGACCAAGAAGCATGGCTTTTGTTTCTCCAGAAAACAAGAAGGCTTAAAGTAAACCCCACTCATTCATCTTACCGTTCTAAGGTGACTGACCTGTCTCTAGGGACGTGCTGAAATTGTGTGTCTCGAGTTCGCAAAAGAGCACACGGATACTTGGCAAACCTTCATTATCAAGCCTGGAGGAGTTGTTACTCCAAATATGTTTGGAAGGGGTTTGTGGATGATGTTACTGGGAACTGATTGGTTTATTCAAAGTGAACAACTCAGCGCATATGTTGCTGAACTGATAACCATGGGGAAGGAAGTCGAAGGACTAATATACAATAAGCGAATGCTAGAAAAGGGACAAGCATTGCTACAGATGACAGCAGAAAGAACTTAAAAACGTTGGAATTTCGCAAACTCGGCTGAAAGGAGCTTAGTTACAAGAATGGAAAACGAAGTGCAACAGTAGGCTTTAAGCAGGTTAGTTCGCCTTTTCACAGTATTAGCTATAGCTGGCAATATAGTTGTTATACCACTTTTCTAGATGTTCTAAGCTCTTCTAATTTAATAACTGAATTTAAATCTAAGTGTTCTTCATAGTTCACTTAAAGCAGATAGAAAACAAGTATGTTTATTTCATAGTTAACAATGATGCTATATCACTACCACAACTACACTCATGAGTTAGAATAACAAGTTCTCTTAAGAAACCAAAATCACAGCCACGGGTTATAAAAGTGCAAATGCCTTTAAACTTAGACTTGCAATTGTGGATGTAAGCAGCGCTAAATACAACATACGCCTAGCCTAGCTATGCAAGAACAGGAGCAGGCAGTAGAACAAGGATGAGAGAAGCAAAATGCAGCCAACAGTAAAACAAAACAAACCCCCACAGAGGCAACCTTAATAGCTAATGATGACGTGCTATTTAGAATAATATTAGGTGAGAAAATAAGTTAAGCTTCTCCACTACTCTCCGAACTAGGATTTGCAAGACCTAGGGCTACTAAAGCTAACCTAGCATTTCTTATAAGGAAAGTGTTCAATGCAGGCACTAGCCGCGCTATGATGTCTTCGGCCGTCTTCCGTGTTAACATTTTCAGCTTTGTGTAATTTATGCTCAATGTTGAATGGACTCTCTGCTAGCTAGCACTTGGTGTCAGCAAATGCGTACAAGACGGAGAGGTTTGCACAGTGTAAACATTGCACAGGGGTGTTAGGTAACTAGTGTTAATTACTTCTTATTTTTCCTCTATACAGAGGAAAAGGGGGATATCTAGATGTTTGCGCACAGAGGTTCGCGCACAAGCATTATGTGACATAGATACGTGATCCTGCTTGTGCGTGATTGCTTGTATCTAGGCCGCGACGCTGCTGCTGCGTACAGACACTAGCAACTTTTCTTTTTATCTAAAGAGTTGCCTTCTGTATGTGTTACCTCCCTTTTGTTTATATAGGTCTATTTAATTATGTTCTACTTTTACTTTACCCTATTTATTAGGACTTGCCTTAGTAATGCTGTGCGTTAGAATAGGCTAGTTATGCTATATAAATAGCTTTTTTTTTCTTTATCTTTTGCTTTCTAAGCCCTACTGTATAATCCTCTAGCTCTTTTCTTTTTTTGTACAGTGCTAATAGTAACAGATCCTTATAATAAGAAAGATAAGTGCATATAATATAAAAAAAAAAAATAAAAAGAAATAAGCCTTATATAAAGGCGTTGTTAGTCTAGTTAGTCTAAGGCATCTTTGCGCACAGAATCTAGCTAGTCTACAAATGCTTCTATCTAGACAGAGAGGCAGTTAGTTAGGACTAATAATTAAAAAGCCTAGTTTAGTGTTTTCTTTATATATATATCTACTAAGTTGTCTTTACTATTAATTTACTTTATTTTAGTAATTTCCCTTTTCTTATATAATTTACAGAGTAATATAATGTTAATTATAAGTTACTTTTTACTAGTAGTGCCTAGCTTAATAAAGTAATTATATAGAAACCTTAAATTTATGCAGATTACTACTAGAATTAGTAGCAGTTTAAGCATTTATATAATTTACTATAGAGTTATACTAAAAGTAATTACATTATTAAACTTTTTAACTATTTTATATAAGTTGCTAGTAAAGACACTTTTAGTTACTTTTTTACACTTAGTAGAATTTTAGTGTATAATGTTACCTAGTATTTTAAAGTAGTTACTTTACTTTATATAGTCTTTATTACTTAATATAATTAAAAATCCTAGCTATAAGCTAAAGTCTTTATTATTAGTAAATAATCTATTTATAAAGATAAATAGCTTTACATAATTAAGCTATAATAGTAGTAAGGTAAGACTATGCTTACTATTATTTATCTGCTATTAAATTTATGTGTTAAGTATGTTAATATTATTATACAAAAGGTCTATAGTTTATGCAGTAATAAATAAGTTAAATGCTGCCTTTAGTTAACATATAAATGCAATGTATACTTTTTTTACACATTACTTAACATATTATTATGCAGCATTTTTGTCCTTTAAGTTAATTATATAAAAGTAGCTTACTTATTTCTTTTAAGTAAGAACTACTATGTTATGTGTAAGTTTAATTTTTCTACTATTAAACTTAATAGGCTGCTTCTCTACTAGAATAGTCTTACTTTTTATGTAAAACTTTACTTTTTATAGTTTTTTTTTTCTCTTTACATAAAATTTTTTGTTATAATGCTTAAAGTATTATTTATTTATAAGCTAGTAATACTAAAAGTGTGCTCTTTTTTATTAGTAATTAAAAAGTAAGGGTTATATAAAAAGATGTGTATACACAGCTTTTCTTTATAGTAGTTATAATATGTTTTAAACTAATACAGTCCTAATTTAGCAGCTCTATATAAGAGTTGTATAACCTAAAGTATTATATTTAGTAAAAAGCTCTAGCGCATCTTTTTTAGTAGCTTTATGTACAGTGTGCGCATAAGCTTATCTGTTAATTAGATGTATACTTATGTAATATTACACAGTTTAAAATGCATTCTGTACATAGCTTTTAGGCTTGCTTTTATAGCTAAAAATAGTCTCTAGCTTATTCTCTAAATAGTTAGTAACTAAGTAAGAATTTCTCTTTTCTTTTTATCTAAGTAGCTAGTAAACACTAGGTAGGATTTTTTATATAGTTAAGTTATTTTGCCTTTTACTTTTTATATAAAGTAAAAGTTAAAAATCTAACTTTAATACCTTATTAAGTTATATACTATAACTTTAAAAGTGCTGTTAGTAATTAAAGTGTTTATTTTTATATAGTCTAATTCTTTAAATAGTTTTTTAGGTGTAGTAATTACACTGTCTATATAAAGCTTAATAAATAAGGCCTAATTATTCTTCTTTTTCTAGGTTAAAAATACCTAGTCTAGACTTTATGCAGGTTTTCTTTACTTTTTACTTCTTCTAGTATCTATATCTTCTCTTTACACTAGTGCAGCATTGCTATTCTAAAGGGCTTAGTCTATAGTAGGCTTTAGTTCTGCTTTTATAATATTTTTATAAAGCTGTTTTTTTTTCTTTTTCTTTAAAAGATCTCTTTATATAAGGATTAGTTTATCTAGGTTATTTATTATAAGTAGGTTATCTTTCTTTTTTTTTTATAGTATAGTTTAACTTGCGTATATTAAAGCTTTAGTAGGCTATTTTTTTTTTTAATAATAATATTTCTTTCTTTAATGCTCTTAATTTTGTATAGGCTAGTCTAGCCTTTCTTCTCTCTTTATGCTATAATCTCTAAGCTAAGGGGGAGGTTAAGAACTTTATATGTTATAAGGCTATTATAAGTGTTAATTACATAATTAATGTTTACTTTTATATAGTCTTTTTAAAGTATCTTTATTACCTTTTATACAGCGCTTACTTATGTAATAATGTCTAGTAATAGTAGAGAGTCTAAGTTAATTTTTAGGTATACCTTAAAAACTAGCAGCGTGGGTACTAGACTGTGTAGGCTAGCTGTGTTGTTTAAAGCCTTAACTGCTATCTATAGGATAGCCTTATTATCTGTACAGTTACCTAGCTTAGTCTTTAGGATGTTAAACACTTATTAAAGAGGTGTGTGCGCGCGCTTAACTTTTCTAACTGCCTAATATGCTTCTATAGGCATCTGCCTGCATGTAGCTTTTATAATTTTTACATAAGCTTAAAAATTTTTTAAAGCAAAATTTATACTAGAGTTATACATAATATAGTCTAGGGGTTCTTAATAGGTGTTAATCTAGCATTTGCATAGTGCATTCTAGGTATCTTGTGCAGACATAGATTTTAGGAATGTAGCAGCCTAAAATAATGTGTTTACATTAATAATATGTAAAACATTTTTATTATTAATTTATACAACATTAATAACAACTTTATAGTTAAAGTAGGTGTTATTTTTAATTATAAACTTAAATCTTTATAAGGCCTAGTTGTCTGTACGCAGCAGCAGCGTCGCGGCCTGGATACAAACAATCGCGCACGAGCAGGATCACGTATTAATGTCACATGATGCTCGTGCGCAAACCTCTGTGCGCAAACATCTAGATATCCCCCTTTTCCTCTGTACAGAGAAAAGACAAGAGCAATAGAACTAGAAACATGTTACCCTTACTTTACCTACTTTGTACGCTGTGCACACTGTACACTACTCTTACTCTTACTACTTAAGTGCTTATACTATAAGCAGCTAGCTGTTAGAGCCTATTTAACACTAATTAGTAGTTAATTTAATTAACTGCAAATTAGTAAAAGTAATAATAAAGTACTTACACTTTATAAGGTACTTTATTTTATTACCTATTCTTTAAAAAAAGTAATAGTAGAGTACTTACACTTTATAAGGTACTTTGTTTAGTTACCTATTTCTTAGAATAGCAAATTAATTCTTTACATTATACAGTAAGCTCTGCTACTGTATAAAGTAAGAAAAAGATAGTGTAAAACGCACACTAAAGCTACTAAAGCTGTATAACCTAGTAGCTAGACAATAGCACATTAATTCTTTACATTACACAGCAAGCTCTGCTACTATATAAAGTAAAAAGGAGATAGTGTAAGGCGCACACTAAAGCTATTAAAGCTGCACAACCTAGCAGCTAGATAATAGCAGTACCTGCGTAATCTACTAGAAAAGTAATTAACTATACTATTATAATAAAATCCTACTAGTAACTAATAACTCTATGTAATAATAAAAAAAATAAGGAATAATTTTTATTATATAAATAACTTACAAAGGACATAAGGATATTAGAGGCAACACTATAAAACAAGACTAGCCTAGAGTACTAGAATAATAAGATTAACATATTAAAGGCTTTAATAAGCCTATAGACTTAATTATATATAAGTTATATAATTACTAATTTACACATAATAACTTAGAAAAGCGC